AAATGTTTAACAAATGTTTAAGGAAAATAAACAGATTATTCATATATATGTATTGCAGATTAATATTTAGTTGTCCAGTGAATCAGTTAATCTTTGCAGTTCTTATTCCTCAGTTCACTTCTCAAAACGATACAAGAATGAGAAAAATCAATGCTGTCAATACTGTAGATAATTTTAATAAATATTTTTCTGGTCATAACAACAAGACTCCTATAATAAAAAGTAGAATAATAATAATAAGAAGAAGAATCTAATTTCAAATAAAAGGTTTAATGATAAAAATGTTAATACAAAATATTAGAATAAATATATAAGATCATTTTTACTCCTATTAATAAAAAAATATGTTTTTATTGTAAAAGCAATAAATATACTGCTGTTATTTTTGCTATTATAATAATTAATAAATGACTAGAAATAAAATTTCTAACATATTTTTGCTTAAACTAATATTAATAAAATATTTCTGTTTTACTATAATGTTGTGTATTTTGTGGTGTTATTATTATTTGGTATTTTAGTATTAACACTTATAATAATGTGGGGGACAATAAATTCTAATAACTTGTTTAACTGTAAACTACATTGTATAATTCATCCTACATCCACCCAACCGGTCGAAGCAGATGGCCGTCCCTCCCTGAGCCTGGTTCTGTCGGAGGTTTTTTTTCCCCTGTGGGGGTTTTCGGTTCCTTCCCACTGTTGTGGACTGCTTGCGGACTGCTGAAGCTTATAGGGAATCCAGGTGTTTTGGATTGTTGGGTGTTTCTGTTTCTGCCTTTGTGAAGCGCTATGAGATGACTGTTGTTGTAAATATGCGCTATACAAATAAAATTGAATTGAATTGAATTGAATTGAATTGAATATACAATCACAGAACTGCATTTAAAAAATATTTCCCAACAATATGAGAAGTGAGAGTTGTTGTTGCTGTAGTTGTAAAAAACACAGAATTTACATCAACATATAAATAAAAATATATATAAAATATACATTTCTGATTGATACTCTTTCTTTTAGTTTCACCACCACAACGCTTAAATTTAATTTAATCCAGTGTGCTTTATTTGATGCTTAAAGATAATAACGTGGAGGTGTATCGTTTTTATTCCCTCATCAAGACCAATGAACAGCTCTGACCGGTGGCACTGCAGCCGTGACCTTTGACCTTTCCCCTCCAACGTGAAGAACTGACCGCTCGTTGAACCGACGCGCCTCGAGGCACAAACGACTCGTCACCGTGTTTGTTCCAAGTCGTGAGGAAGAAATAATCTGCCGTCCGATCTAGAAGAATAGAGAAGAAGCTACGAAATGACACTCGTCAGATTAAAGCGCCGCCTTCTGTCCGTCCATCAGGAAACAAACGCCGGGCTCGCCCTCGGCAGCATGATCGACTCCGCTGGTGTCTGTCAGGTTGCATAACGGCTCGACGGCTCGACCCGTTGTAGGAAAAACAGCCTAATCCGCTTCCGCACAATTACGCGTCAGCTCTCATCCGATTACGGCTCATAACGCACGTGGAAATCCATAAATGTAAAGCGATTAGGGCAGGTAGAACGGTCTAATTAGGCAGGATTACGCTGTAGGCTAAACCGGGCTGAGCGGGAATTAAAAATTGATAAATCTATAGCGGTGAAATCGGAGAATCCTAATGAAAAACTCCGGCCGCATCCATCTCCTGTACATCAGAAATGTTCTTTCTTTGGCTCGACGAGGCTTTAATTATCACCGAATTTTCAGTTTTAATTAGTTATTCTATAAGAGCGAGTAGCCTGCAGGCAGAGACGAAGGAAGAAAGAAAAATAACGTGAATGACGCAGGAAAAACTCACCTTTTCTGTTTCGGTTTGTTAGCTTATAGCTTTGGTTTGTTGGAAAAAAATAGAGATTTAGTTTGTTTGTGTTTGTTGCTGCTACATCTGTTTTGGGAGAAAAGATGTCTACATGTTTATGTTGTTGTTTTTGCATGCTAGTTTACATCATAGCTGTTATAAAAATATTATGTTTATGTACGTTTGTTGTTGTTGTTTTTTGGCAGATTTTTAAAACCCGTCTAAAAACTCATGTTTATGGCCTGGCCTTGGACCCGACATGCGACTCCTGTTTTATTGTTCTTATTGTCCTTTAATGATTTCACTATATTGTATTTTACATTTTAGAAGTTTTAAATTGTTTTATATTTTATGTTCAGTGCTTCATTTCGACTGTCGTTGTGTTAAAGTGCTTTATAAATAAAGTTGAGTTGAGAGATTACAACAGTTTTTTGGGTTTTTTTGGAATTAGATTTTTGTTTAGATATATTTGTTATTGTTGTTTTGTTTGGTAACGACAGATTTTTATGTGGTTGCTGCTGTTTAATGTGTCACAGTTTGCTTAGAACAAGATATGTTTGTGTTTGGGAGCTTACAGCATCGTTTTAGCATAAAAGCATTTCTTGTTTGTTTGTTTTTTTATTCAGACACCTTTTGTTTTTGTTTTGTAGCTCACTGTATAGTTGTTGTTTGTTTTTAGAAGATTTTTGTTTTATATTGCAACAACAGAGTTTTATATGTTTCTGTTTATCTTGTCATAAGGAATGTTTGTGTTTACATGTACTTGTTGTTTTTGTTTGGTAGTTTACGTCATCGTTTTGTTATCATGAAAGCTGTCTTTTTTCAGACTTTGTTTTTGTTTTGTTTGACATGTTTTTTGTTTGGTAGCTTACCTCAGTTTGTTGTTGTTGTTTTTGTTAGTAGTTTACATTTACATCAACTCAGCGTCATTTTATCTTATATTTTGTTTGGTGTGTGTATATGTTTGTTTACAATTGTTTTTATTTGGTCGCTGACATCATAGTTTTGTTTGAACAAAATCTCTTTTGTTTGCATATGTGTGATGGTGTTTGTGCTCTTTTTTGGCGCTTACATAGTGGCTTTGGTATTTGATAGATATTTTTATTTACAAGTGTTTTTTGTTTAGTAGTGTACATAAAAGTTTGGGTCATATAATAAAGTTTTGTTTACATGTGTTGTTTTTGTTTAGTATCTTTTATTGGTTTTGTTTGAACAACATATTTTGTTTACATATTTACACACAGATTTTTGTTCTTTTTTTAGAGCTCACATCACGATGTTGGCATTTGATAGATATTATTTGTTTACATAAGTTTGACATTTTGCACTTTAGTTTTGTCGGAACATGAAATGTTTTTGTTTACACGTTATGTTTGTTTGCTTACATCATAGTTTTGGTATTATAGTAAATATTTGTGTTTACATATGTTTGTTTACTATCTTACATTGTGTTTTGTTAGAACATAAAATATTATTGTTTACACTTTTATTTTAGTTTGTTTGCTTACATTAATATTTTGGAATATTAATAAGTACTTTGTTTACATTTTTAGTTTTTAGCATGCATTGTGTTTTGTAATCTTTTCTTTTTTTGGAGCTTGCATAACAGTTTTGGTATTTGATAGATATTTTTGTTTACCTGTGTTTTGTTTTTTGTTTAGTTTTAAAACAAGTGGCAGCTGACGTCATAGTTTTGTTTATATAAGCTGTTTTTTGTTTGTTGATTTATATCAGTTTTGTTTGTTTGTTTAGAAATAGATGTCTTTTGCTCCTTTTCTCTTTCCTCTCCTGGGACTTTACGCACGCGTTCCTCTTATTATGATAATTTAACGTTTCATGTGTGACTGTTTGTTTTCAGCTTCAGGGCTCCTTCAACAGGTGACACAAGCCACCAATCGGATCATCCGTCGCCACACGAACGTTGAGCGACGCTACAGTAAAAAATAATAACCCCGAAATAACCCGGGTCCAATAAATTAGACATCTCTCCAAACCCTGCCACCTGTTTTTCGCCGCTTGTTTCGCCTCTCCGGCTCCGTCCAATGGGAGCGGACGGCAGGTCTGGAGGCGGAGAAATCAGGCAGAGAAGTTGGAGGAGAGAGTGAGAGACAGATTGGGAGAGACAGCGAGCTTCAGATTGAGTGTCAGTCGGCGGAGTCACATATTACATCTTTATCATCTGAGCGCCGCGCGGCTTTTTTACGCACATTTATTTTGTGTGTGTGTGTGTGTGTGTGTGTGTGTGCGACGCGCAGCCACAGGTTGAGCGATTTTTTTTTTTTTTTTTTGGCATTATTTTTTAATCCATGGATTATTCCTCCTCATCTGGTGTCGACTGTCACTGGATCAAAATGGGCTCCATCGATCCATCGGCGATGATCGCGGAGGAAGAAGACGCGAACTGATCGGCAGAAGTGAGCGCAGAGGGAGGCAACATCTGTGGGGAAAGCGACGCGCAAGAAAATTTCCCAGAGACAGGCGGGAGGACCTGTGGAGGGAGCTGCATGCATGAGAGGAGACGGAGCCACAACATCATGATGGGATGGCCGTGACAACATGAAAAAGAAAAAGTGCGCTCTTCATCCAGCCAGCGATTCGAGACAACCAGCGAGGGGGACCGGCAGGGACTGAGAGAGGAGGTCGGAGGTAGGTGGAGGAGCAGGCGGCCAGGAGGAGGAGGAGGAGGAGGGCGCCGTGAAGGTGTCTGGTTATATCATAGGCTGCTGAAAGTAGGTTATTGTTTTGGATCAATCAAAACGCAGCCAACTTGTGGTTTGAGAGGAGCAGCCACACTTCCCAGTTCTCCCTCATTCCCAGGCTGCCTTCCTCCCGGCCACCAACAGATGACATTTTCTGGAAAGGATTGCTGGGAGCCTTGTGGGATGTGAGAGAACAGGGAGACTCTGGGAAACAGAGGGAGCGCTGACACAGGCTGACTGGGCAGCTGACTCAAATGTGACTCAAGGAAATAACATATTCCCCAATTACGGCCACTTCCCTTCACTCCGCTGCCCCTCCGACTCACAGCTTCTGGAGTTCATCCGTCTTAAGCAGCCGTCACCCATCGCGGCGCTCTCCTCCCTCTCCCTCCGTCCTTCTTTACTACCGTCATGGTGAATATGTGTCTCTCTTTACTCTGTTTTCTCTGCCTGCAGACAGGTGCATGACCATGGAGCCTCCCCCTTCTCTGAGCCTGGCTCTGCTGGGAGGCAGCGAGGACGAGGACCAGCGCTTCCTCCTTCCCCTGGGCAGCATCTCCCACCCGCCCGCCGCCGGCAGCCAGCCCGGCTCCAACCACTCCAACCACATGGGAGGGTCCAGCCTGGACCGTCTGAACGGCAGCACCCCATCGCCGTCGCCTGCCACGCCCAACCTGCCCCAGGCGTCCCTTCCCAAGTTGCCCCTGTCGTCCTCCGGCGCCCAGCCCCTGCCTCCGCCCATCCCCAACGCCCTGCACCCCACCAGCACCCCGCTGTCCTCCTGCCTGGGCTCGCAGCACAGCCTGAGCGGGGACAACTCCCCCGTCTACAACGCCCTCTTTTACTCCTCCCACTCGCCCTCCATGGACCGGGAACGGGACCGGGAGCGCGACCGGGACCGGGAGCGGGGCTGCAAGCACCGGCAGGCCAGCCCTCTGGTACACCGCCGGGACAGCAACCCCTTCACCGAGATCGCCATGAGCTCCTGCAAGTACACCGGCGGGGTCATGAAGCCGCTGAGCCGCCTCAGCGCCTCCCGCAGGAACCTCATTGAGTCGGACAGCAGCAGCGAAACCAAAGAGGGCGGCGTTTCGGCTGTTGCCGGGGCGACGGGCGGACAGCGGGAGGCCCCTCCCACCTGCTCGGTGACCCAGACCTCCACCAACCAACCGCCGATCCAGAGCCCCCCGGAAATCGTGATCTCGTCCAAAGAAGACTCGCCGTACCCCCGGGCAGGGTATGACATCACTGACTCCACGTCCAACCAGATGTCCATCTACCACCAGAACCATGCGCTGGTGGAGAGCCGGCGGGCGCAGCCGGGGCGGGGCAGCCGGCAGGGCGGGGTCGGGGCGGTGGGCGCCGGGGCCCGGGGCAGCACCTCCAAGGCCCCCAAACGGAAGAACCAAAACATTGGCTATAAACTGGGGCACCGCAGGGCGCTGTTCGAGAAGAGGAAGCGGCTGAGCGACTACGCCCTCATCTTCGGGATGTTTGGCATCGTCGTCATGGTGATCGAGACGGAGCTGTCGTGGGGCGTTTACACTAAGGTGAGGGGACAGACCGGCGGTTCTTAAACGGGCCCTGCTATGGGTTATTGGTTTAGCGCAGAGATCTCCAACTCCGGTCCTCGTGAGCTACTGTCCTGCAGGCTTTCGATGTTTCTGTCCTGCAACACACCTGACTCAGGTTAATGGATCTCCAACAGCTTATTGTCAAGTTCTACACAAGTCTGTTAACGATCCATTAATTTGAGTCAGGTGTATTAAGGTACGGAAACGTCTAAAACCTGCAGGACAGTAGCTCACGAGGACCAGAGTTGGACATCCCTGAAGCGCCTCTGCAGCTGTAAAGTGTCAGATCGGTTTAGCAAATTCAACAACTCTGAAATTTACACAAAAAAAAGCATTCAGTACTAACAGGAAGGTGGAAAAACATGAGTTTACCAGGCAGGAAGCATCATGGGAAGTGTAGAAGCCATTTCTCGTAGTTTAATCATATCAACTGGACTTGCTTGAGTTCCTTGAAGACGTTCCACCTCTCATTCAAGAGGCTTAATCGGTTCTGACTCGTTGGGAGTTGGGATGAGAGGTGAAACATCTTCAAGAACCTCAAGCAAGTCCAGCTGCTACGAGTAAACTACGAGAACATCCACGACCTGGATGACTGAGACACAGACATGTAGAAGCCAATAATGTTGTAGTTTAACCCTTAACAATATCTTGTAGGGCTGCGCAGTATTGTTTAGCGGCTTTGTGGCGCTTGTTGTCTTCCTTGAAAATCCAGTAAGAACCCCAAAACACAAAATAAAACTCCCTCATCTGTTGTCCTGACAGAAATCAATCAAATGTGCTTCTAATTTTGCAGCAGAACAGCTTCTATCATGACTGCACAATATTGAAATAAACTGACATTGCAATATTTTGTTCTTCAGCTTTCTGCCGCTCGTTATCTTTTTATAAAATTTCCATAAAAACCCAAAAAACATAAGTAAAAGATGCTCATCTCGTGGTAAACAGCTTCTGTTGGGGAACTGACATTGCAATATTTAGTTTTTTTATGATATTTATAGACAAAAAAATGCAGGAATGTTGGTCATTCCAGATTCTGATCTTGCAGTGGAGTCAAATCTGCACTGAAACATTAAAATCCTTCCTAAAGGCTGGAATAAAGAGGTTTGAAACATTTCTCATATGGTGTAAAACTAGCAAAGACATCGGTGGTAGCCTCGTCGCTTTGGATCCACTGCTGATTTAAACGATCAAACTCGTCGCTGCCTCGTGTGGCGGCACCAATCGCGAGACGCTTTTGAAAGAGAACCTGCTTTCGTTCATCTCTTCTGCAGCTGAAATGCTTCCATACGACCGACTTCTTTCCGCAGCCAGATCTTCCTCTTCCCTGTTTCTCTGCAGCTCCTCGCTTTATTTGCTGTGCACATGTGGAGCTGCATGTCAACAAACGCTGTGTCTTGTAAATAAAGTTTAAAAAAAACCCTCCAAGAAGCCTTAAATCGGAGTAAATGATGCTCCATGAGACAGATCTTTTCTTGTAGATTAGTCGTTTTCTTTCCTCACATTGTGATGCCGAAACGCAGCTTTGACTCTGGCTGCTCTTTGTCCAAATCTTTTACAGCCTTTTGGGCGTATAAACTGTTGGATTAACCCATTTAATGGAGCTACATGACGCCCAAGTCCCCAAATGCTACAGCAGGTGGCGCTAGCTTGGTGTGGTGGATTAAATGCCTGCATTTTTGGTTGCTTTTTGCTTTTCGTTTGTTAGCAGGGCTGCAGCTAAGGAGTATTTCTGTTGTTGATTAGTTATTTTGCCAAAAAATGGTGTAAAATGTTGAGCAGTGATTCCCAAAACCAAAGATGATGGAAAACATTCACATTTTAGAAGCTGCATTTAGAAGATTTTGATTTGTTTCCTTCCTAGAAAATGACTCGATGAATTGTGCATCAAAACAGATGCTGGTGTGGATTAAATGTCTGCATTTTTGGTTGCTTTTTGCTTTTATTTCGTTTGTAGGGCTGCAACTAAGGATTACTTCCATTGTCGGTTAGTTGTTTTGTCGAAAAATGTCAGAAAATAGTGACAATGTTGAACAGTGATTCCCAAAACCCAAGATGATGGAAAACATTCACATTTTAGAAGCTGCATTTCGAGGATTTTGACTCGTATTGATGAATTGTGCATCAAAACAGTTGGTGTTGTGGATAGAATGTCTGCATTTTTGGTTGCTTTTTCATTATATTTCGTTAGCAGGGCTGCAACTAGGGAGTATTTCCATTGTCGATGAGTTGTTTTGTAAAGAAAAACGGTGAAAAATGTTGAGCAACGATTCCTAAAACCCGACATGATGGAAAACATTCACATTTACGAAGCTGTATTTAGAGGAATTTGACTTGTTTCCTTCCAAAAAAAAGACTCGTATTGATGAATTATGCACCAAAACAGTTGGTGTTGAATGCAGTACTTGATGACTTGTCGGCTAATCGGTGCACCTTTATGTGTTTCACCTGCTGGACTTGCACCTGGAGTGTTCGGCGGAAACATCGCTGACCCTCCAGGCCACAAAAACGACAAGTGTTTTTAGTAGATTTAGAGCCAGATTAAAGTTTTATCACCACATTCGCTCCTCTCACATGACCCCATGTTACCCGAGTTGTTTAGGGGGTCGTGTTCGGCGCTGACCGGGCTCGCCGGTCGCAGCTTGTGGGTGATGTAACGCAGCCATGCGGAGGACGTGGGGGGGCAGATTACCAGTAGGAGGCCAGGATCTCATTTGTCTGTGTAATGGGGAGTGTAATAAGCTGAATCGGCCCCTGGCTGCTATTGTCTGTTTATTTTGTGAGAGCGCTGGTGGGCATCTCACCTTCCTCCTGCTGAAGGTCCATCCTCTTTTCTTTTTTTGCTCCCCCATTGCTCTCACGTGCGGCTTTTCTTCAGTTAATAAGGCGGAAACGTTACTTCCGCTTGTGCAGCTCGTCGTGCGTGGATCATCGATCGCGTGAAGGAGTGCGTGGGATCGCAGATTTACAGGTGGAGGCCGGCTGGGCGTGTCTCCACTTCTGTGTGTTATTGTCATCGCTCGAGGAATCTTCTGTTCCGCCAGCTGTCTCTCACATCTTTCCTCTCCCACTCATGACTTTATGAAAATCACTGTTTCATTCTTTTTTTTCTTTTTTTATTAATGAAAAAAAAAGAAGCCCAGTCTGGATTTCTCTCTCGCCTCTCATCCTGCTTTCTTCTTGAAGGAGATGGCCGGCACTTTCTGTTTTTTTTTTGTTGTTTCCCCCTCCCTCCGTCTGTCCCTTTTTAATCCTCCTTCCTCGGTCCTTTCTTTCTTTCTTTCATGTTTCCCCCCTCCACTTCCTCTCCTCCCCGAGCTCCTCCTCAGCTCTTCCAGTGGGCGTTGAACTGGGGGAGTGTGATCGGAAGAAAGGAGCTGAAAGTCTGTGGAAGGAGAGAGAGAAAAAAAAAAAAAGGCGATAATGAAAAGCCTGATTTAGGTTCCTTAAGTTACAATCGATGCGAGTCTTCATCTTAAACAGGCGGCGTTGTCTATCAAGTGATGGACACCTGCGAATCTCAGCGCATTGATTAATCATTAAGTCATCTGGTGGAAGAAGAACATTCTGTGAAACACCTCAAAGCTTCTCCAATTCATCATAAATACACCTCTTTTTTTTTTTTTCCTGCTTGCGAGTGCGACTCCAGCCGGCGTCCCGTCACAAACACTCACTTAGATAATTGAGGCGGACAGAAGCCAAAACAGAGATCACGAGGATGGAAGAGACGAAAAGGTGGAAGAGGTTCGCGCTCTGCTTTAAAGTGTGGAGTCTAGTGAGGGGGGGGGGAGCTTTGGCTGATTCCTCGTATTGATTATTGATAATCACTCGCCCACGCACCCACCGCCCTCCCCCCCTCCCCCCTACGCACATACGCTGCTGCACGTTGGAAATGGATGCTGCCTTTCACGAGGGCTATTTGACAGCCGCTCTCGAGAGATGATGTGGTGAAATGTGATAGTTGGGATGATTTTACATCACTGGAATACATGCACGTGCATTTATATATATATATATATACACACACAAATGTTCTTGACAATTGCTGTGCACTGCATGCCTCTGTAGACTGCCAGCATGTGCACATCGACCAACCTTTTTTTTTTTTCCAGGAGGTCCAGCTGCTCTATCTTGCTCCCAAAAATAGAGATGAAGAATAAGAATGGAACTAAACTGGGTGGGTTGGATTGTGTGGAGTGTGTGTGTGTGTGTGTGTGTTGGGAAGGATAAAGGCAGCGAGGTTAACAGAGGAGGACATGGTGTTCGTGACTGCGGGTATAGTGAGTAAGCATATGTATATTCATGTTGGAGAACGGATTTCAAACCCCCGTCAGCGCATCGCGGCGCAGATTTTCCGTTCATCGCTTTTACAGCAAATGTCACCCTGAATGTTTCGGTTAGGTCCGCGATGGAAGCCGCGTCTGAGTAGTTCAACGTTGTGTCACTTTGCAGCAAATGCATTACTTGTTTAAAAGGAGCGTTTACTATAGTATAAATACAGCCTCCGAAGTAGGACTTGGATGCAAGAAAAGTCGGTACCATGAAGTTCAGAGGAAGCTGGTGTCCACTAATGCCTTCCATTCTTCTTCAGAGACTTCAGAGAGAGATCTTTACTGGAGGGGTTTTGTTGCTCTACGTTTCTCCTTAAAATACCCCAAACATGTTCTAGTGGACTCAAGTCAGGCCACATACGTGTCCAAGTTGTAGTTTTTCTTCTTGTGTGGTTTTGTTCTCTGGATGGTTCCTCTTCTTCCAGCTTCTACAAACTGGGAGTCATCTAATCAGCCAGTATTCTGGTTTATCCTCAGACATCCATCTATAAATGTCATCAACACCTTCTGCCCTCATACAGCCCCATATCATGACGCTGCCACCTCCGTGCTTCACTGTCAGGACGATGCATCCACTGTGGTGGTCCTGGTCAGGTTCACACCAAACATCTGGACTCCATCTGAGCCCAACACATTTATCTTCATCTG